TCTCTTATAAAAATGCATATCATTAGATTTTGGACCCACCCAGGTAATTCAGGATAATCTCATCTCAAATTCCTTAATTTAATTAAATCTGCAAAGATCCTCTTTCTACATAAGGTCATGTTCACAGGCTCCAGGGATTTGGATGTGGACATATCATTGGCTGGGGCGGGGGGAAAGGGGGCACTAGAGTCATCCTGAAATTATTTCCAGTTCTAAAGCTGGAGACCAGGGACCACAGTCACTCTGAGAACTTTGAGAACAATGATGCTCATCTGGAGTTTCTACCCCCTTCCTGGTCACAGGGTGTCCCATCACAGGCCCAATGACATAGTTTGGTGGCAAAGCCAGGACAGACAGGTGCTTCAAGTCAAACTGGACTTAGCTTTTGGTGAAAGACACAAAACAGCAAGCATGCCATTGTGGAGAAACCCCTCTACTGATATACTTTAAAATATTTAGAATCTAGGCTTACATCCAGGCATGATTTTAACTTGGAACATGAGGAATATGGCTATGGAAACTCTAGGAACCAAAACCAGACCTGTAGGTGGCAGCAGGGAGGCATGGGGACCTCTACAAATCCTGCGAATGCTATTACTGAGGAACCGATTAGAAAATCCCTAGCAGCCAAATATTTGAGTGGCTAACGGGGGTGTTTTCCTTTGCAAAGAGAACATTATGTGTTTTGATCAGGAGTAGGAGGGAGCTTCCATTTTAGGGACAGCATGACACGTGGAGCCTGAGAACCAACAGACCTGAGTTCCTGCCAGGCCTCCACACAATGCTCAGCAAGCACCATCCCCTCGTCCTCACCAGTGAAGGGCAGCTCAGGATTTCCAAGGTCAAATCCAACTTTGAGATTCCACAAATCATCAGAAGAGAATCACTGTTCGTGCTGCTGATTCTCTAAGTCTATGACTGTCTTCCTTTCTCAGCATAAAATAGAAAGACTGGATGCTTCCATAGCAGAGCACAAGTACCAGTTGAAAACTCTTAGTTAAATAAACCAATGGCCTCATCAAAAGACACCACACAGAACATACAAACAAAAGCAGAGCAAAGTTATCTTTTTGTGATTTTGTTTAGTTTCATCATGGCACTGGGTAAGGGAATATCATTTCCCATCCAGCTCTCTTAAGAGTAAGAAATGGCTCCCAGACCACCCCATCTCCTTCAGTGCTTTGAGAGCCAGGCGTTACGAAAACTAAGCTACAAAAAGGTTAAAAATCAAGAGGTGCTTTGTGAGTTTGGGAGACTTTCCTGAGAGGTCTAGCCACAGCTGGAGTGGGAAAAATATTGGCTTTGGGTCCAGTCAGTGGACAATGGCAGATCCAATGCTTAAGAAAGTTTCCTATTAGAAAACACAAAATTAGCAGAGATTGTTTGGAGGGAAAGAGCAGAATTTACACAAACACATATTTAAGCTCTCAAGTAAATATATAATCTATATTTTAACATATTAATACATTAAAATACTTGAATATTTAAAATATTAAATATTGTTAAACATCTGATTAAATTAATATATTAATTTATATTATATATCTATATAGCAAATAATGTATTTATTATATATGATCATATTTGCCTAAATCTAGAGCTCAAGAAAGTCCACAGATGTTTAACAGATAACTTGCTATGATCTTGGAATACTAGTCCACGGTCAGCTAAGGGAGAAACTGCTTATACAGAGAGCCTAGTGAGAAATATACTTGCTGGCAACAAATTGTATTTCCTTAAATCTTGTGTTTATGATGAATCTTTTTCCTTATGGTAATTAGACCTTAGGAATGACTAGGCTTTGTTGTTCAATAGAGTGTTACAGTTTTTATAGAAAAGTCATCACTGAGTAGTAAGCCTTCATTTGTGACTCAGAGGGTTACACCCACATGTGAGGCCAACAGGTCATAGATGGGTAGTCCAGTACCCAGGAAGGTGTAACGAGCTCTGCCCAGGTTAGTTCTGTGTGCTCAGACCTCAACGGACAACACGCAGGAGAAGCGATACATTAACTGTTTCCTGGCCAGACTACCTGGGTTCATATCCCTGCGCAGCCGCTCACTGGCTGGAAACTTGGGAAAATGACATCCCCTCTCCGTTCTCCAGTCTGTCATCTGTGAAAGGGGGTATTTGTATAGACTACCTAATTCATAAGGTTGTGAAAATTAAATGAGTTATCTATTGAGATATGCATTCACTGCTATTATTACTACTACTACTATTATTTGACACAAACCAAGGAAGACTCTTTTTTAGAAGGGATATGTTTATTTCTCCCCCACCCACTCAAAATATGCCCTCAGTGGCATTACTGAGATAGAACGTCAGCACCAGGTACTATACGGCAGCATCTGATGGTGAAAATAGTCATGCTTTTTATTTCTGCTGTCTAGAAATATGTGGAGCCAGAAAGGGGCAGCACCGTGGGAGACAAAAGGTCCAGAAAATGGCAATTCTTTTTGGTGTGGGCAAGCCCAGTTCTTCATTTGGCAGCGTGCTTCTTGTAGATCTCCAAGAACTCCTTCACGTCATCAGGCGACCCCAAGATGACTGGCGCCCTCTGGTGGATGTCAGTGGGAACAACGTCCAGTACAGCTTCCTTCCCAGTGGTAGCCAATCCTCCCGCCTTCTCCATGATGTAGGCCATTGGGTTACATTCGTATAACAGTCTCAACTGGAAAAAAGAGCCACAAGCAGCATGCTCACACCAGCAAATATTACAAAGAAAAGGGATGCGTTCTATAGCAAACTAGTACAGAGCTGGTGGGACTTTCCAAGGTAACCGATACTCTCCCTTTCCTTCTGTGAGGTTGTAATAGTCCTCACCCCCAAGGCTGCCTCTTAAGACCTACTGGTTAATTTAACCATTTGGTTAAATTAAGCCATTCATCAAGCCACAGTCAGCAATAGAGTGCCTGATGCGAATGTGAGACAGACCACCTGGACTCAGGACTGAATGACATTTTGGCAGAACTGATGGTTCCCTTCTCTTTATAGCACGGAAACTGGACCTAATGAGTGACTCTGTGTGTTTTGGATGGAGCTTTGCCTATTCTAAAAGCATTAAACATCCATGGTAGTGTCTGGCTGCAGACATCTGGAAAGCAGACCGGCTCCTCCAAACAGTATAATATTGTTTGCAACCCTGTACACATTCCTTTTATAATTCTCCGAAGGCTTCGGGGGTTGGGATTGAGTGTGTTATACATCCTGGCATTTACTTTTAAATATTAACTTTTTTGTTGTCTGCATTTTCATGCAGTCTGCCTATTGAGCAGACAGCTTCTTGCAGGTGTTTCCTGGCTGTATTTGCATACAGGTGTCATGGCCAGATTTGCAAAACAGAAAATAAACAAGGAGGAACCTCAATATTCGTGTTAAACAACAATTTTTTGAGGCATTAAAGAAAAGTGCTACAGAGTAGGCTAATCACATAGGTTGGGATGCCTGATGTGGCGATGGCAAAGTGGTGTTTTAAGTAAATAAGAATGCCTTCAATGAACAGGACACCACTGGCTGTAAACAGACATCCGAATATATCTGGAACATACACATTTTTAACTATCTTAAGGGGATTCTTGTTGCCATTCCTTCTCTCACATTTGAAAAAAAAAAAAGAATCTGTCTATTGGGGAAAGCAAAGGGACAATATTTGGGAAGGAAAGACATTGTCACGGTGTAGAAGAGAAGTGGGCTGTCCCTTAGCCGGCGTAAGAAATCACAGCACCCCCACCCCCAAACCCCACGGGCTCGGGACACTGTGGGCATCAGACCAGTGCATTCGGTGGTGACAGCTCACCTGAAAGCTCTAGGTTTCCCCAGAGATTCTTTCCTTCCCTAGGAAGGTATCATTTTCCAAGCAGCCAGAGTCAGCTCATTAGTTATTTCTACTTTATGCCTTTTGAAAGCAATCAAAGGAAACCTCTATTTGGATACATATTTGATTTTCTGCCTTGGTAATGAAGCTGAACTGTTTCATTTCACATTGTGAATGGCATTCATTTTGCCCAGGCCACCCACTGGAAGCGCCCATCCTGACCGTAACACTGTTACTTATCTTTAGCAATGGAAAGGCTCTCACGAGACCATTTCGAGCCACTATCACCCGGCTTTAACTAAGACAGCCTCCAATCTAGAAAAGAATATCCCACAGATATCCTCAGCATCGTACTACAGAGCGTAACAGCAATATAACAACTACTGTAATCTCTTTCTTCCTAAATCAAATCCCCTGGGCTGCAAATGGAATCCACTGCTTCTCAACCACGTTTTTTTGTTTTGTTTCGTTTTGTTTTTTAAAGATTTTATTTATTTGACAGAGAGAGAGAGACAGTGAGAGAGGGAACACAAGCAGGGGGAGTGGGAGAGGGAGAAGCAGGCTTCCCGTGGAGCAGGGAGCCCGACACGGGGCTCGATGCCAGGACCCTGGGACCATGACCTGAGCCGAAGGCAGACGCTTAAAGACTGAGCCACCCAGGCGCCCCTCAACAACTTTTCAGGGGATTTGATTACCTTTCCACTGGGGCTCTTCTTGTTCGCAGGGTACAGAAAGATCCCGCCATAGACCAGGGTGCGGTGCACATCAGCCACCATGGAGCCCACGTACCTGGCACCATAAGGGGCTGTGTTATCCTGCAAGGTTAAGACCAACAATAATTAAGGTCATGGAAAAGAGAGTTCTGTGTCCTTTCTGCCCATCTGGTTCAATGATCATTTATGTAATGAGCACCTACAAGGTGCATGTTTGGAGCTGCACTAGGAAACGTGATGAAAATCCTGAGCCCCAGGAGCAGAAACAGACTGCCTCTTACACCTCTCATAATAGGGTCAAATTACCTGCAGAAGCCCCCAGGAGGGTGTCGTTGATTCTGACTACAGGGTTGGAACAGACATCACAAAATCGTACCTTTCAGCAGGACCTTGCAGGCTGAGAAGGACTTTGCCAAGCCAAGGAGCCAGGCAAGGGGGGTGGCACCTGCCCGATAAAAAGCACAGCAACCCAGAGGCAGATGCCATCTACCTGGGGCCTGGGGAGGAAGCCAGTGCACTCGTGTGTGCAGGGAACAGTGGGTGGGAACGGCCTGGAGGCCCTGAACGTCATCCTAAGAAGGTCTGGGCTTCCTCCTAATCACATAGCAGCTTTCAAAGGCATTGAAGAGGATGACAAAATTGGATATTCCTACATAAAACTAGCTCTGTAAACAGCCATTTCTTCTCTTTGTATTCAGTGACTTGATACCTCTTCAGAAAGGTACCAAGATGGACACTCGTAATCTTGAGATGGCGAACAAAAATCCACTGGCCACCCCAGGGCAGGCACCTGGGTACGAGAACTGTGTTCTGTACCATCCGAGATCGGGGACCACAGAAGCGAAATGTTTTACTGCCATGGACTCACTCATCTGGCCAACTTTATTGTCCTGATTTTCTCCTCCCAGCAGAAAGTGGCAGAGGCTGAAATTGACCCTCGGACTTTGACATCCGAGGGCAGCAGTTCCAGTCCCCAATACGAGGCGGGAACCTCGCCATGGGGTCGGTGCACACGGGAGTCCAAGCCCCTGCCATCCCTGCCACCTTTAGCCTCCAGGGTAAATCATGAACCAACAGATCTGTGCGTAACTCGGGGACCTCCCACAGAGCCCTCACTTACCGGGGGGAACTTCTTCCTCTGGACATACTCGGTGACAGCAGGGTCGAACTCCCTGGCATAGCCCTCGTTGAGGCTATAGATTTTTCCTTTCTTTTTGATTTTCACATCTTTATCCACCAAAATGAACTCTCCAATGGCCTGGAAAAGGAGAAGGAGAGGGACAGGTGATGAGCTGCTTCCTCCCGGGCCGGGCTGTGCTGCACCGGGGGTCCTGAGGCTGGGGGCACAAGGTGCCTCTCCCAGCCCTGGGACACCCTGTCCCCGACCTGCCACTCCAGGAATTGTGAACAGGGCCGGGGAAGAGTCAGTGGGTGAAAAGCAAACAGGAGGAGAGAAGAGGCTGCTGCAGATGTTGTCAGCGGATCGAAACTCTTCACTGGACTTTCAAATGGTTTCAGTAAAACAAGAAAGAAAACAGACAAAAGTAGGGAGGGCAGAAATGCCTAACACAGCAGCAAAACCTGAGGGAGAATAAGAACTGTGTATCCACTCATGTGGGATTTAAGAAACCAATGAGCAAGGAAAAAAAAAAGAGAGAGACAAACCAAGAAACAGACTCTTTATAGAGAACGAACTGCTGGTTACCAGACGGGAAGGGGCGCAGGGGGGTGGGAAAGCGGGGGATGGGGATTAAAGAGTACATTTATCAGGAAGAGAAAATAATAATAAAATAAGATAACAAAAAATAAACAGCTGTCCCCCCCGGGGGGCAGGGGAAATGTACGTCCAAAGCAATATACAATTTTGAAAAAAAAAAAAAATTCTGCTGGTGCAGCCAGGAGGTGGGGTATGAGGAGAGGTGGGCACTGAGTCACACCAGTGTGCTCAGGAGCACTCTCGGCTTTCCATTTCTGCCGTGATGACGTGTCCCTTCTCTGTGCTGCCGCAGAAAAGAAGAGAATCCTGAGTCTGGACTCCCAGCCTCTGTAACTCTGGGTGCTTTTGCTCACTGATCTGCAAAACATTTCTCAGAACTCGGTCCTGCCATCAAGTTCCGGTGCTGAGTTGATGCCTCTGGGCCTGAGGTGCTTTAGAGGAGACTGCTATCTGGAAAATGTCACCTAGCTCCTGTTGCTCGGGACTGAGGACTGTTTGGAGCTCCCACGTGTCCTGAGAAGAGGCTGACTGAAGCTCTGCCCTGGTCGGGAGGGGGCTGCTCCCCGGAGGCAAGAGCTAAGAAGAAAGGAGGTGCCCCAGCCATTCACCCCCATCGCAGAGATTCCTTCCTGCAGGTAGGGAGTGTGACCTAAAAGGAAGGAAGGGAGGGAGGGATGGACCTAGGAGAGCAGGAAGGAGGATGGAGGAGGGGAAGGAGAAAGACTAGAATTAACAGTGGTCACTGCAAGGTTTAACCTGAGTGATTCTTTTTTTCTTTTATGGTTTTGTTTGTTTTTTGTTTTTTTTGTATTTCCAAAAATTCTGGCCACAATTCTGTAGAAACGTTCTTTTATAATCAGAAAAGTAACTCACTAGCTAGGTATCTTTACAAAAGAAGACCTGAAAGCAAGCCATCGCACAGTGGGTGCTGCAGAGCTCCTGCAGCCATGCTTCGCCGACGCCCTGCCCTGGCACCTGGCCAGAGCATCCAAGATGTGAAGGAGGAAAGTCTCCTGCACGCGCACACAAGAGCCTGAAAGCCTTCTGAGGGTTCGAGCCTGCTGGAAACGCACATATAGCTGTCTCCGTCTTTTGAGCAGAAACTGCCAGCCAAAATGAATAGAAAGTGCTGAGGGGGTCCTGAGGTTCGCCCTGCAGGCGCGGGGGGTGGGGGGGGGACGTGGGAGGGAGGAGCAGTGGCCCCAGCAGGGGACTATGACAGCGGACCTGCGCTGTTCTTCCAAACACTGAGGGGCCATTAGGACTCGGGGTGGCAAAAGCCTATCACATACACAGAAACTGACTCCCAGAGACACCAGTCTATGACCTGGAGACAAGGAAAGATTCCGTTTTTTTCTACACATCCATCAGCTCAAAGGTAACAGAGAAGTCACTAGAAGAATGTCTGGGGAAGCAGTAAATCTCTGGCAAAGCCATACATCTGCAGACTTCAGTGATTCCAGAAACTGTGCACTGGGCTTGGGTGAACTTTGCTCCAGTTCTGCCACTATGTTCCCCTGAGGTCGCCCCATTTGGAGGCTTAATCTAGTGTTGTTCTCCTATTTTTGTTTATTCATTAAGTGCTGGTACTTCCAAGGAGCCAAAGTCCAGTTGTGCAAGAGTACAGGGGGCCAAGGCCTATGTTCTCATTGCCACGACCTGCCACGCACACAAAGCCCAGGGCCTCACCAGGAGCTATACCTGTCTCCCGCCCGATTCCAGCCAGCCGTGTGTCCCCTGTGTTCTGTGTGTCCACAAAAAGCACCGAATTAATAAAGTTTCATTACCGTCATAGGAGGACATGTCTAAAACTAAAAGGTATTTATAAACCCAATTCTTTTCCCTTTGGGGCACTGGATCAAGTGTATGATGAACGTGCCCACCTACTGAATTCCATATTCAACGGTAGGTTGAGTTGGGCCAAAGAGCGAAAGAGACTTCTTTCCACAATTCATAGCCTCCGCTGAAACTGTCATCTACCTGAATAAATAACTCCAAGTAATAGACATGTGGAAGAAAGCATTCACAAATTCAAGCTGTTAATGACTATTTTTCATGGCATCTTGGGCTCCTCTCCACTAAGGAGCTTTTCTCTCTAAGGTGGAATGAGGACTTATCTTCATTTTAGTCTTTATATTCTCTTCCTTGAGTTTATCAAAGCCTTATCAAAACTGCAAGCATTCACAGAGCATTCATCTGCGTATGCACAATGTCAAATGGATTTGGTAGCTATGTCTGAAGAAACAAGGGAATCCACTACATCAGCTGGGACACCCGTTCACCTCTGCAAAACAAGCTAGTCATGGACATAGTGGGTGGCAAAGAGACCATCTACAGGCCCCATCTGGTCCATAAATGTGTTTTAGTTGGCTAGCACATATGTTTTACAAATCTAGAAATATTACATTTTTTTTAATCCACCGTTTCTTGAGACACTGGAAGCCTTGGCAAGACTGCTCCCCTATTCCCAAATAGTAACAACTGCTAGACCTCTCCAGCTTACCCCTGCCCCCACCATTGCCTTTGGCCTTCCTTCCCCAGCACACCTCACTCATTTATATGGCCTGCCTGGACTCAGTGGGCATGAGTCAGTTGAATAATGTCTGTTCTACAGAATTAATCTTGGAACAAAGACCCCCCCCTTATGCTCTGGAATATTATTATTCCATATTATTATATTATTTCTCACCTCAGTAATCTTCTTGTGATGTACACATGGTTCCTCCATCTCCCCCACCCCTTCGCCCACTCCCTCATCTCTGGCTCTCTGTGGGCCTCATTTCCCACCTCTACATACCCCCTCTCACCCCCCACACAAATAATAGACCTTTGCAAACAATCACCAGCCAAGCACCCAACCTCCCACAGGGTCTCTCACCGGGTCCAGCATGAAGCAGTTGACGCCATTCACCATGGCCAGGACCAACATGGTGGCACTGCCGTACAGGGCATAGCCAGCAGCTACCAGGTTCCTGCCTGGCTGCAAAGCATCCTTCTCAGAAGGCTCATCAGTTGAACTCTAGGACAAGAGAGAAAACAAAACAACATGTTTTTTTGTTTTGTTTTCTGTTGTGTTTCTTTTTTCCAGTTCAGTCATTAGCAAGATGCATTATCAAGGTGCGCTCTCCTAATGCAACTGGATATCTTCCCAGCGGGGCCTTCCTCCGCACATCAGTAATATCCTGATTATATTACCACGGCAGCCTCCCCGCCCCCATACCACAGATTTCCTGCATCTGGATCCTTCTTTCCAATCAGGGTCCTCCCCCAATTTTACTAATTTGATATTCCCTCATTTCTCCATTATCACTTTCAAAAAAGAGCATGCCTTCTTGCCAGCTCCCACTAATTTAATCGTATTACAGGCATCAATGTCTTCCACCTGCCTACTCCATCTTTGTTTAAACATATTAAGACTGGGCTGCAGGACTGCTAGTCTGGCGAGGAAATCAATTTTATGAGTTCTTGCCAGTTGCGGCACGTGCCTCAGTGGACACTCTTGCATCCAAGCAATTCTCAGAAATGCAGGGACTTGGAATATCTCTCCAGTATCAGTACAGAGTAGGGCAGTTGCTTTCCATTTTTTTGACCACACCCACAGTAAAAAATACATTTACGCCACAAACCAGTACCAACACACACACACACACAACTACACAAACAAAGCAACGCTTACACTTAGAACATGCACTCTAATCTTTCCTATATTGTTTCATTAAAAACACAGTCCAGTGGGTCATGTGACCACAGTTTGATACTAAGGAAGGGGACACCTTAAGGGCATATCTCCTAGTCAAGGTTGATAATGATAAGGAGATAATGATCTTCTTTATTAACACTTGATTGGCTTCTTTGGTCCTCAAAACAACCCCAAACAAATCTTTCAGCTTGAATCCTCTCTACTTGAATTTAAACAGAAATGAAAATGGGCAATTTCTGCCAGTTTCATTTATTCCTTCCCCAACCAGAGATTCCTGTAGCTAAAAACAAGTATGGGCATCCATATCACAATGCTGGAAATGGAGGTCATCCCAGCAAAAACATTCCTGGTAATTTTTTTTCTGGAACTTTTTGAAAGTGTGGTCCAGAGACCATGTGCATCATAATCACCTGGGACACTTATTAAAAATGCATATCCTGGGGGTGCAGCCTAGGCTTACTAAGCCAGACTTTCTAAAGGGGGGGGTTCCTCAGAATCTGCATTTTATTGTGCACCATACGTGACTCTGACACCGAAGTTTATGTAAAAGGCAGAGTCATAAGGACATTTCTCTCCTTTTCCCCCTCATCCCCACTCCTTGTGTTTAATAAATGGTTTTCACATAGGTGGCTCGTTGGTTGGTCAGTTGGTTGGGTTAGGTCAAGTTATTTGATTCAGTTTGCTTTGTGTTCACAGAATAGTGCATTGCATCTAAACACAACACTAAACATACTATTAAAAATTTGAGTTGTTTACCCAAACTCCAAATAAAAAAAGAACCAGCTTCCTTCAAAGCCAGTGACATAGGGGAGGATCCGGGCCTCCAACTACCCTCTGTCACAACTACTTAACCCTGCTAGGGCCGTGAGAAGTCAGACCGGCAATACGCAGACAAAAGAGTTGGCTGGGAGCCCCTAAAGGTTTGGAATCATCACTTCTCCCCTAAGAAAAATCCCTCAGAGATCCACCTCACCCAGAACCATCCACACCTGCCCGTGCCAAAGGTGCAAGAGCAAACAGCCTTTCCTGAAATGTTGTCACCTAATAATCTTACTGACTGCCACAGAATAAGAAATGGTAACACTGTCTATGATCCACACTCTCGAAGAAAAAATAATGCCATGGAATCATGCATGAGGAGAAATCCTTTCCTATCCTGATCTTTCTAATGCATGAATTCCTTCCTTCAAACCCCCGCAGGGAAGGCCTTTGGTCCAGGGATCCATCACATTCTCACGCAGGTGCTCATGGACCCACCAAGTCACATAAAGCCCTTGGCAAAATTAGAAAGCTCCTAGACCCTACCTTTCTCTGCCTATCCCGGGCCACAACCTCTTGGAGGTATTGGTTTGTGGGAGGACACCATGGATTCTGGAGACTTGGGGTGGTAGAGGAGAAAAACTGGTCGATGTGGGTATCCCCCTTGTCTTGTCACAGGGGCTCACAGAGCATTCTGAGAGTCCCCCATAACTCAGCCAATATTATTCACCTACTATCGTGCTAGGCTACTAACCTGCAAAACATACATTAAGACGATGTCCTGCCCTCAAGGAGTTTATAATCGGCCGTGAAGATGGGCTGGTTTTGCCTGGCCGCAGCCACCACCCTTCCGCTGGTAACTGCACGTTCATCTCCTTAAGATACCGCCTCCCTTGCCCTCAGCTCTGGGGGGGGAGGGGGGCACATGACCCGGCCGGGCCAACTAAATCATCGCATGCCTCAGGCCATAGTGATTGGCTACGGCACGGCCACGTGACCTGAGCCAAGCCAATCAGATCCAATGAGATGACATTCCTGTTGGAATTGTTGGAAGAGAGGCTTGCGTCTTTCGCTTGACTTATTGAGAGGGCTGGGTGTGAGCCTGGACTTGCTGGCCACCGTTCGCCCACCAGAGTGGAGGAACGTAGTAGAGAGAGAGAGAGAGAGGAAGTGTCTCCTGATGGCATGGTCTGAGGCCCTCAATGCAGCAGCACCTGAAGCAAATCTATCCATTGGGCTTTCTAGTTATGAAAACCAGTAATTTTCTTCTCCCTTCCTTCTTTTCCTTCCTCCCTTCCTCCTTTTTTTCATTCCTTCCTTAAGTTAGAGTTCTGATACTGTCCACTGAATATTAATACACAAAACAAGTAATATTAATAGCTAATACTTATCAAGCACTTTTTATGTGCCAGGTACTATTTTCAGGGCATTATTCCTAATTTTCAGTACCTCCCCTTTACAGATAAGGAAACAAGAGGCTCACAGCTACCTTGCCCGAGATTCCATAGAACTGCAAGTGTCAATATCCGGAAGCTGCATTCCATATGGTTATTAATTAATAAGTCTTTAAGTCTCGCTGTGCTCAGAGGACTTGAACTGGATTCTGAAACTGCTAGAGCACTTTTGAAACTCTGTGTTTAGTTGTGGGGACTGGATATTTTTTTAAAGGATGTTGCAAATTAGATTATGTCCAGTATAGGGTGACCACACTAGAGAGAGGTCTAAAATCTTCTCATACGAAAGATGTTTAGCTTAAAAAAATATATTTTTTAAAAAGAAGGGAGGACAGGGCAGGAAAGCCATTTCCAAACACGCTAAAACAAAAACAAAACAAAACAAAAAAAACCTTATTTTCAGATGCTCTAAAAGGCCAAATGAGCAATAGGGAAATATGTTGATTCAATATGTGGGCAAACGTTCTAACGATGATAGTCACTCAACCTCAGGAGAATTCTACCCCTTCTGAGTGTCTCCTCGGCAGGAACTCTCTGGGACTGGACCATGTGCCCTTTGAGATACCTCTGGAACCTGTTTCCAGGCATCACGTGGGCAAGGCCTGATCACTGTTGCCAGATTCAGTTACCAATGCTGTGGCCTAAGGAGATGACTTCGAGCCCAGAACCATCAATGCAGAAAGCAAGAAATGTGTAATTTGAAGCATCAGTCACATCAATGTTTACACCCCATAAGCCTTCAAATGGTTTCAAACAATCAATAAGATGTTTAAAAACTGCAATGGCGGGGCGCCTGGGTGGCTCAGATAATTAAGTGTCTGCCTTCAGCTCAGGTCATGATTCCAGGGTCCTGGAATCGAGCCCCACGTCGGGCTCCTGGCTCAACAGGGAGCCTGCTTCTCCCTCTCCCTCTGTCTCCCCCCCTGCTCATGCTCGCTTTCTCTGTATCTCTGTGTCTCAAATGAATAAATAAAATCTAAAATAAAATAAAATAATAAAAAAACTGCAATGGCATAAAGGTGGGTGTCACACTCATTTTTTTTTTCCCCAGTCTTTTCAGAGAGCCACTTCAGGTTTCTTAAGAAGAGCATGGAGACTTGAGTTTTAGCATTCATGACTCAAGCTGCTATTGCAAGCTGGTTTGATTTTTTTTTAGGTGATAGCTAGTTTTCTGGCTCTCAGTTTTCTAGGGATTTTTCTTTCCCTAAAAGTCTTTCCTGAGGGGGCTGAGGTGGAGACTGGGGAGGCAAACATCAGCACCCCTGTAGTTTTGGTTAAGTCATTAAGCAGGAGGCTTCCCTTACAGGAAGAATTTTGCTAGGAACCTCTCTTGCACTACTATAGATTTGATACTTTGTAGGGAAAATTACCTACTATAGATTTGATACTTTGTAGGGAAAATTACCTCCCTCCATGTTTATAATAGGAATGGTATGTTTCACGGTCTGACCTGGAAAATAGCTGAGCTGTTGCCTTTGCCTTTTTGTTACGAGCATTAAAACCTTCTATTACTCAAACTGATCTCCATGTGGATCTGCCTCTAGGCCAAGACAAAAGAGCAAAATCCATTCCAGTGATGAAAGAAAACCATCCGGTGGTGGCCATGTGTTTGGAAGGAGATTACATATAATACTAGACAAGTCACTCTGAGAAATAAGGTACGAATTGTGGTCTTGCATCTCAAGCTGTGGCCTCTGTCTGCTGGAACAAGAGAGCTGGGAGGAAGCTCAGAGACCAGCTGAACTAAGCTGCCTCATCCACTGAGATGAAGAAACGGGCTCAGGCTCAACCACGTCTGTGAGGTTTTATTTCTAAAATAACACAAGGAGGGCTGAAGCCAAGATGACGTATTTTAGATTTCATGTTTACGATGGGCCCATGGGTATTCATTCTGTTTTTCACTTGTCTGTGTACTTGAGTTGTTCCAACACCCACACGCGCGTGTGCACACCCACACACGCACACACGCACACACGCAAAGGAAAAGAAGGAGAGGCTCACACAGGTGAGAAAGACCCAGGGCAGGAGTCCGGGTCCCATGCTGCACCAGTGCGCAGCAAACTTTCCACAAAGGGACAGACAGTAAACATTCGAGGCTTTACCATCACCGTCTCTATCACAACTGCTTTACCCTGCCGGTGCGGCTCAAAATCAGCAAGGGCAATATGTGAACAAATGAGTTGACCATATGCCATTAAAACTTTATTTATGGACAGTGAAAATTAAATTTTATATGAATGACACGGGTCATAAAATATTAGTCTTTAGACTCTTTTTCAGCCATTTAAAAATGAAAAGAGGGTATTTTCTGCTCCCAGGCCATACAAATCAGACAACAAGCTGGATTTAGCCCCAGGGAGTCTTGGTTTGCAGACCCCGATTCAGACAATTTAAAGGACAGTTTTGACATAAATAATCTCTTGTTATACTCATAATTCTCAGTTCACACAGTATGATCACCGTAACTAATCTATATTTTCTCTTATTTTTACTCTCATTTTCCATCGTAAGAAAGATATAGTTACAAAAGTGAAATATCTTTCTCTCCCCCCCGTGTTTTACTATATTTTCTTTTAAACCACTTAATGGATCATCAGCAAGCAGTTAAGGCTGGAAAAGTCAGAACCTGAGATATAAACCTATTTCAAACCTCAGAGAGTTTCATGACCTACATTCTGCCCGCTCCACCAAAAGTGAAATAGTATTGGATGTCAACCTTAACTTTTTATCTCAAACCAGGGGCTCGATATATTACATTTTACCTTTTTGTAGATGCCAAAAATTGTTCCAATGGACGCAAGGCAGTCAATATTGGAAGATCCATCCAGGGGATCAAAACAGACCACATACTTACCCTGAGCAAAAAAAAAAAAGAAATACAACTTTACTTTTAAAATTATAACAAAACAAAGAGCATACACAAAGGGGATAAAACAAGGGAATCTAGGAGAAAGTTCAAGAAATATGAATCTGATTTGTCTGTCATAGAAGGTATGAGGTGGCATACACAACAAAAACAACAAAACATCTGTCCCAAAGGATCACTAGGCAGAGAAAACATAACTTAGAATAGCAGGTCTAGATGAAGATGATGATACAGAAAAATAAGTCATAGTTTCCTACACTGCTGATATAGATGAATCATAATTTTGATTTGAGTTTCCTGGCAGCCAAAGGAAAAAAAGAAACGAGGCTAGTAACTAATTTCTCTTTATTCACAACGGAAAGAAAAAAAAAGTAACAATTCCTTAGCTGAAGCAAAGATAACATTAAGATCTATTTGAAAAAACTTCTCATGCACGTCCTATAGATGACATGTGGTTGCAGTGCACAGAGTTCCCAACAACAACCCTACTGTGATTCCCAAAGGGCATAACCCTCTGTCGTAGTGGGACTACCAAAATTTCATTCTGTGAACCAGATTTTCAGTGGTGTGCTGGGGCTGGTCGCTATATGTGCCCAAGACCTAATTGTGCACATCTCTTCCCAAACTCTGCTTTCAGTGATGTCATGCTGGTAGCTTGAAATAAACTATGGGGCATATTTACACAGTTGCAATTGGTATGTGCTACAAATCAGAGATTTTTTTGTTTTTTTTTTTAGAAAGAGTGCATGCGTGGGATCGGGCAGGAGGGGCAAAAGGAGAAGGAGAGGATCTTAAGCAGGCTCCACACTCAGCGCAGCCAGATGTGGGGCTCCATCTCACAACCCTGAGATCATGACCTGAGCAGAAATCAGGAGTCCAATGCTTAACTGACTGAGCCACCCTGGTGTCCCAGAGATTTTTTTTTTAAGAGAGAGTTAACCTGAATACCACTGGGGATTTTCCATCTCCAGATTGGCCACTTTAAGATGTGGTTTTTAAATGATCTGCATCAAATTAAGAGGTTTCTCTGATTCCCTGACCTATTGCTCTTAACAAATCACTCTGGCCCATGCAGAGGAATCTGTCATCTGGAAAACAGAAGCATGCCTATTATCAAGGCACATTATAGTCAGGGAAGTTTGGGGTAACTGATAGAGGATATTAAACACAAAATTCAATCCACATGCCTAAAACTGCCAACTACCTTGAGAAGCCCAGCAGAGAAAAACATGAACTTTGAATCATTAAGTGGTATTTTAGGAATAATATAAAACAAGCTAATCAGATGTGGCTCCCCACCCTTCTTATAAAGGTCAAAACTGGGTGTCAGGCAACCTCTTTAAATTCATCTTCCAATTGCTTTTTTCTAATGCTACTCGTTCCGGTCCCCAATTCATCTCAAACAGGGAAAGATGGTAAGCGCATCGAACTTCACATCACATCTCAAACTTTTTTTTTTTTAATCCTATGATTGTTGTTCTTCTTCAAAAGCTGGCTATACGCTTTCATTCACTTTTTCAACAACAATTTCTTGTTGAGCAAGGTACTGTGCTAGATGCTGGGATACAGAAAAGAATATAATCCATCTCTGCCTTCAAAGAGCAATCAAATTAATGGGATCCCCATGGGTTATAATGCATAAATCAATGATAGGAACTGAGAGCAGTTTAGATTGGCAAGAAAGGTGAATGGGAAGGTCGGCGATTTGGTGGGTAGAGATGAAGAACAAAGAGGTAGTTAACAGAAGCCAGACTTTGAAGAACCTTGAACATGAAAACAAAAATGTAGGGGTGGGGATGAGTATGAGGACATATGAGCCTCTCTAATGCGTGAGTACGTGGGGGGGCGGGTAATAATGGCACGAACGATGGTGGTAGCATGGGCAGTGGAGGACAGCTGGGAGATATGGTAGTAAGGTAGAATCTGTGAAATGGTAACTGATGGGGAGGAATATGGGATGATTCTAGGACTCCAGCCTGGCTGAGCAAGTGGGGCCATTTATAAAGCCAGGATGATGGTTACACTGAACACCACCCCCCACAGTAGAAATGCAGACCCACCCTTTTCTCGGGCTCTACTATAATGGCGTGCTTATCTTCTTCTGACACAAGAACGCAGGTGGCAAAGGATGACTTTAACATGTTAATAACCAGGTCATTGGAGAGGACATCCAGCTTCTTCACTTGATCACCGGTCACGTTGGTAGAGCCAGCGATTCCATAGCTAGAAGGAAGAAAAGTCACAAAAATATAAGCCATGACCACCAGGATGTGCCATGCACCTATAAACCCACTGAAAGCAGGTGTTTAGTAGGATTTAGAAGACAGAAAAGACGACACGTGGTTTGGGAGAAACAAAACAAGAAGAATGGTCATCCCCCCCCGACTGACTCCTAACAAGGAGTCACCTTTCCAGTGTGTCACGTACCCAGCACACCTTTGTGGATAAATCCGTGTTTCCCAACCTTTCTTTAATGGCCTCTAAGAAGACTTTTTAGCTTTTTTTCCCTAATCACACTCCTCCATGAAACTTTACCACCACAAATATAGTGTGTATCTGTACCTCATATATTTAAAAGATTGATTTTTCTTCACCTCCCCCCAAAACCAGTTTTTACCCTTGAATGCACAGGTTAGCACATAATCAATCAGCGGAGAGGTACAGCAAGAAAGGAAAACTTCTGGGTTAGGAGGGAGCCTGAGATGTGAGCTAAGCCAAGGGATGCTATGATTTCAGAGCTGAAAAGTTCCTAAGAGACAATATGGACTGGCCCCACCACCTCATTTGATAGAGCAGGAAGCTCATTCGCAGACACCGACGGGCTTGTCCAAACCCGAGAAGCAGAGCAGAGGTGAGAAGCTCGCTCCGAATCCCTCGCGGGCAGGAGTCCTCCGGCTGCCGGCGTGAAAAGTCCGGAGTCTCTACTCTACTTTCAAGGTACCTGGAAGTCAGTAGCTGCAGAATTCCCAGAATTGGAGTGGCTCGTGCAAAATGCAGCCTAGTTTGTGGGAATGGAGGAAGAGGCAGGCTGTCCTAGCGGGGCTCGGACAGGAATACTGAAAGGAGGGGAACCGTTTGCGAGAAAGGAGGCACAGCCGAGAGCAGAGACAGCAGGAGATGGAAGACGCCGCCCAACCGCTGAGGGGCCCGGACGGGGGCCTTGGCTGACAAGGTCAGGAGCACTCGCCTGGGAAACACTGGTCACAGCGGCCCTTGCTTCAACTCCTGCAGATGCATCTTCTCTCGACAGACAGAACTCACTTGTCTCTGGCTGAACAAAACGCAGCCGACACCAGGGACTGTCCCAACCCAGACGCCTGGCCTGGCCTGATTGGCTCCAGAAGGTAATTCTGGCTTCACAGCAAGCCCACCTCCAGGGTCGCTTCCGTGTCATTCCCTTGCCCCCCTGGAAAGAGCATCTCGTCCTCCCAGCCCGGGGCCCACTGCTCCCCCTCCCGCCATGTCGCTCCTCGCTCATGAGTAGAAGACCAAGAGTCTGCCACACTGTCCTCTTTCCACCTAATCTTCTCCTCACCTCAATCCTGAGGCCGATGCCGGTAGAGAAAGAAGGCAGCCAAATTCTGGGTGGAACGAGAGGGGCTTGGCAGGGCCGCCAACCCAAATACATCTCCCTAGCTGGCCCCACAGGCCCTAACTGTCACTCCTTCCTCGCCTGAGACGTCCTCACTGAAAGGCACTGATAATTCAGGAAGGCGAACAGGCTGATGGAAAGGAGCCTGAGCTTCCTGACAGGAACCTGGCTCAGACCTCACCTCTGCAAGTCACTTGTCCTGTCTCCTTGGGTGCGCGTGCCCCCTGAAGGCAAGGATACTTTGGGCGGTGCTAGAGGATTCCATGAGGTGAGACATGCAAAGGGCTTAGCACAGCCCTTGGCATCTAATAGGTGAGGAAAAATGTGAATTACCTTGGTTTGCTCTCTCAAGGGAGCCCTCATTAGGGATCTGCACCTGCTGTGGGGGGCGGGGGGGGAGTCTCGGAGACTCCCAGGCTTCACCCCACATCATGTTAGCCTGGTCGGTTTATCCTTCACTCCGATGAGGAAGACAGAGGGTATGTGTTCTTCCATTGTGCCCCAGCTTCCAGCACACAGTAGGCCCTCAATAAATACTTGCTGCACGAATGAATGGCATTCACTGAGGAAAGCAAAAACCTGAGTCTGAGGGAATATAGGAGCAACCGACTTTCAAAGTCATTCCACACGTTGGGAGTGCCGGGGGAAGCCATCGGCACAGTCCCCAGGGGGGTAGGCCTATGGAGACAGCTCCACAGAAGCCAGGGCAGCTGAGGCAGAGGGATAGGGTCCCAGAGACAGGCGTGGGAAAGGCCTATTTCACACTTGGGCCCATGTCCCACCTGCTCAGGTATCTCATCCAGCAAGACAGGTGAAGTCCGGCCACAGTCCTTTTTCCTCAAAGGCCTCCTAGAGGCCTGTGTGAGTTTTCCTTCATGTCCCAGTATTTATCATCCTCCAGGAACTGTTCTCAGGGCTAGGGTTACAGTGCGGAGCAACACAGATGAGATCCTTGCCCTCACAGAGCTTATATTCTAGTAACAAGTAAGTGCTTTATATTTATATTTATATTTATATTTATATTTATATTTATATTTATATTTATATTTATATT